CCGCCTCCTGTCAAAGCCAGGCCAAAATCACCGCTAATCCCTACTGCCGTTTCTGAGAGGTTAGCCTTGGTTGATTGACTGGATCAGTCTCTGGCGCGTGGCCTCCACACCCAGGTGTAAAACTCAAACAGACAAACACAAACTTGTTTATTCCCTTCATGAATTCGGCGTTTGTGATGGTGATGATTCAGAGTTGACCAGGGCAAACGCAACAATTTAAAATTTATTTTATTGGGTGTAATGACTTAACGTCGTTAATCCGAGTGAAGCCCAGGTCAGTTCCCGGCGAGGAGTAACATGGGCGCAACAAGACTTGACAGTGATCCGGGTTGTTAGTGTATTTGTTGGGATCCAATTTAATTGAATTTCATACATACAGTTACACACATCTCCATCAATCTAAAGATTTTCAAGAATTTTACATGGGGCCGTTGTTTTGGGCCATTGTTCTTGTGGTTTGCCGGCGTGAGTCGCGTGACAGACGATCATTCCAAAAGCACAACTCGACTCTGCAATCCGCAAGTCACTGGCTTTCACCATGGGGGCAGAAGCGGCGCAGACTCCGGAACTGCTACCAATATTTACTAGCGTTCTGTCAGTTGTTATGGTGTTTGTTGTCTGACTTGTTTATCAGTTCTATTTTATCATCTTTGAAAATTGAACCTGGGCCCCCTGGAGCTGTGGGGTTTCCAGCAATGAACTATGAGATGAGCTTCAAAACCAAAGTCTAAGGACCCTAAGGCCCTAAGAAAAATAACGCCAACATCATGTTACCAGTCAGAGGTCAGAAGTCAGAATTTCAATCACAGTCAGAAACACTCGGGATCCTGTTCCGAATGAAATTCCATCGTGCAATTCCATTCCCTTTCCCTCGCTCAACAGCAATCTGGACCAAGGGACACCGCGGTTTGACGTTGAGAGATTGACCGGTAAGGAAGCTGAAGGAGGACATTGGACAGAAACGGTTTGCAGCACCACATTCAACACAGCTCTCACGAGCACGTCTCAAGCTAGACATGCTTATGATGAAGCTACGACAATAAGAGTGGGCAAGCTGGTTCAGGAAAGGCCGCAAATGACTCGCGGCAGTTCGTTCTGCTCAGTGCCCGCTTCGCCGCAAGCTGAAACGGAATTGCTGATGATTGTAGGAGTCCGGACCGAGCAGCTGAAGTTAAGGGTGCTCCACCGGCGCAGTTAGGTCAATGGCGGCTGCAGAATCACGATACAACGTCTACACTTCCTCTGAGAGTCCTTGGCAGCAGCGTGCCGTTGAGCGCGATGCACATGAGAAATATCGCTGCATCCCGGACACAGATCCTAGCTTTGAGTTGCAAGCAGTGCTGATGGTGCCTGGAGTCAATCACATCATCGACAACATTGAGTCGGAAGTTTTGTAGGCATTGACGTGGGGCTCTCATTTTGAGGACAGGAGAGTACGGGTGTGACAGAACACGTGTTTTTCAGAGTCGGTCGATAGAATTGTTAAACGGTTGCGATTGAGCGGCCATCGCTCGCACAGGCAATCAACGCGCATGTCAAAAAATGCAGCAGGGTTCCCGATTTCACACTTACACACAACAAAAAATCCCGGTTCATCATGCCTGCTGTTGACCTGCGAAGCTGCGCTGCGGCTGCCTCAGTGATCTTTGCGCCGGACTCAGGGGGGTCGGTAAGCGCCTCTCGCTCTCGACCATCCTCCAAAAAGCGGGGGGTGTTGTTGGGAGGTTGCAACTCATGATGTGCAGGGCTCGCCATGTTGTATTGGCTCACAGAGAAAGGTATCGCTTGCCTTGCAGTGTTTAGGTAGTTCTGACCTATCAATACAAGCAACCAGCTATGATGTGCAGAAGTTAAGAAGGCCGCACTGTTGCACAGAGTTGGAGCCGTTTGCAATCAAAACTATTGAGCCTGAGTGCAGCGCCAGAATATGTAGGAACCCACATCAGGAATTATGTAGCTTGTGTGGTTGTTGCTTCAAGTTCGCATGTCGTGTTTTTGGGCAAAGAACACAAACAGTCATTCACGGCCAAAAGCAGACTTTCGCGGCAACAAAATGTGTGTCATGGTACTTTCAGGGCAATTTTGCGGTAGTTTCATGCTACTTTCAGGACTGTTCATATTAGCTCCCAGCAAAGCATGTTCAATGACACATTGTTGTCACAACATGTTCAGCAGGGTAGCTTCTGCAGTCCTCAAATAACGAGATTGGAATCTTAGGCTGTGCGATGCAAATCGCTTCGATCTTTACTCTCGATACACTGAGGTCATGGACTTTAAACTTTTTGGGAAGATCATTTTAGTAGCAAGCACACAGTTTGGACTTTTTTGGCCAACCCACTCACGAAGTGAGACCATACAATCGTTCATTTGCAATCCAGTATGCGACGCAAACTTGGGCATGCTCAGCGCGATGCCTTCCAGGCATTGTGGTTCAAAGACCGGTTCAGCTGTGTTTCTTAGGCTGGTGCACATCGGCGCAAACTGCACCAATTGCCCTGGAAACTTGATGAAGCAAACGTTTGAACACTTGACTCGCAGCGCTGCCTCAACACCCTCAACGTCACGGTTCAAACAAAGCAACAACTCTGTCACGCAAACGTCATTTACTGGCCAAACTGGTTCGTGCCGAACGGACCATGTTAAGGGCCGGGTCTGGGAACTTCCAGCAAGGAAAGGGACACCAAGAGCAGAAAACCCATCTTTTTTCTTAAGGGGGGGGAGGTGGGGGGAGGTGGGTCAGAATCCTCAAAAATGGACGAGCACACCCCGGGCTTCGTCCTTCGCGCCGCAGGCAGCACCTGGACAAACTCATGGCCTCGCTGCAGGCAATATCTGGGGTGGGGGGAGGGGGGTCGAGGACAACCGGGTGTGGTGGGGTGAAAACTACGGTAACTATACTGTGGATGGTTGTCGCGTTGAAGGAGAAGTTGTTGGATTTGAGGGTCAAGAAAAGGTCAAATGAGGTGCGGTGGATGGTTGCAAAATCCGTTCGCACCACCTTGAAGCCACGGGAAACCATAACGTTTCTTGGTAGTTTTTAGGGGAATAATCATTCCAGGTTTTCTTTGGTGCGAAATGGATTTTGTCCACAGAAGCTTGGTGGCAAGTCCGAAGGCCATCTGGTTCCACTTATTTTTTTAGATCGTTGTTGCTGGGTTTACTGGTGGTTCCCATTGAACCCGCCAAACAAATAATCGCAGGAGTGAGGGCAGCCCGGATCGGTGTCCTCTTGATTGGCTAGTTTGGTTACAAATGCCAGACCCTAGCTTTTGGCTGGGTTGCCATCCCTCTGCAAAAAGTGTTCAGCATGTTTCTCAACTTTTTGAGGGTTCAATAGAAAATCCACTGTTGCAACCGACAAGTTAAAGTCCAAAGATCCAACCAAATAGCCAGAAAGCTGGGAGAAGGGAATGGTTTCTGTTTGGGGGTGGCCATTTTTGGTGGGAAAGCCAGAATGCAAAAAGGGCGACGCTGAGCAACTGGGGGCAATACTGGGACGTCCCTCACACGGGCTTTCACACTTTGGATCGCTTTGTTCAATCAGATTTTCCCATCAGCGGGCCAGTCGTGATCCAGAGTCGAAAAAGTAATCCCCAAAAAGGGTGGGTGGGAAACCTCCCCCTTTGCCCTCTACATCCAAATCCAAACCAATCGAATCCAAGCCACCAATTAAATAAGAGTAACCTGAAGAAGGCTGAATCTTTGAAGCTTGTTTCTCGAACCCGAAGTCCGTTTCAGGGGGTTTGGGTGCTTTAGGGCGGGTGTGGGTGGTGAGTTCGGGTGGTTCATGGTCAGTGTATGGCACATTTAGGCTGTGGTTCTTTGAGGCTTTAGCTCTTTCCACACAGGGCAGCACATTTTTGGGCTTGCCATAGGCGACCTTTTGGAAACATCTCGATGGCGCTGCTAAATGGCATCTAAACCAGTGGTACTTGTAACCAAGCCAACCAACCATGCTGAACACCTTTGTTTTTTTTGCAGAGGGGTCAATGTACCAAGCCAGAAGCCAGGGTCCCTGGTGGGACTTCAATTGAGGTCATGTTGTTTTGTTTCGTTTCCTCGAAAGGGCGGCCTGGACGCGCGCGGGGAGGCCCGGACTGAGGCAGGGTTTGCTCCATTTCCCGTTTAAAAACCTGAAAAAGTGGCGATCGTTTCAGCTTGCTGGTGCGAAATTGGCAGGGACTGAGAAATGGAATGAACCTGGGGATGCCTTAGAGGAAACCAAATCGGATGGATGTGTTTTGTTTCTTTTTCTTTTTTTTCCCCTTTTTTTTTGGGGGGGGGTCATTCCCTCATTCCCTGCATCTCTCTCTCGGGGTCATTCCCTCATCTGCTGAGCACCAGCATGTCAATGGCCGCCGGAAAATTCATCCATTGCAGTGGGACTCCCAGTGAATTCTGCGAGGCTCGATTCGTTTCTCTTCGGTTTCCCTGTGCCGGTCCCAAGAAGGGTCCCGGCTTCGGATGTCCACCAAAGGGTCCCGGCTTTTTCAAGTTCGCGGCCCAGGTCAAGCAGCTGCTCAAAGTCATCCAACAACGTCCTTTGCGGTACAAAAGGAGTTGGTTTCTTGCATGTTTGACCCTCCAATAGTTGGTGGGTATTTATTTGGTCTCCCTGCACCACCAAAAGGCAGACTCAACGAAACATGGCCAAGGCCATTTCGAACCAGGGTTGAAGGACCACAACCCCAGTCGAAGGGACACCCAACCCTTCGAACAGCCCCTCCTTGACCCCCTTCGATGTTCGCCCCGAGGTCCGGATTGGATCGGCATTGATCGGCAGCCCAGGAGCGAACAGACAGATTGTGAAACGCATCAAATATGCCTTTTCCATGAGCTACGCAGCACCGGAAAAAATCCAGGTTGCTTGTTTCTGACCCGTTTTTTTCCAGGTTGGTTGTTTTGCGGGAAGCTCACCAGATCAGGGCACAAACGCGAGCTGAGTATATGATGCAAAGTCCTTTGCTTGAGTCCTTGTGAGGGTTTTGGGGAATTCTTGGCGGTTGTTGGCCAGGCGGTTGGGCTTTTAGGCTTTTCGGTTTTTTAAGGTTTAGTTGGGATTTCCATTTAACGCACTAAACAGTAAACTTTCAGCCGGGGATCTGAGGACAGCCTAGAACTCCTATTTTAGAAAATAGATCAAGATCAATTGGTGTTCCCTGAAGCCCAGTTGTTTTGTTCCCTTTTTTCTCAACCCATTTCCAATTTGGGAAGCTAAACCATCCGCTCCGATTCGGCGGCGGCTCAAAATTCTCTGCCGGGTTTGGTTCAACGTGAGCGGCTGAACTTCAACACTGTGAGGTCAGGGCTTAGAGAGGTCTTTGACACGTTCGAAGAGGCGTGTTGCAAAAATTGGCTCCCGTGCCCCCATCAAATTCCGTGGCTTTTGTTTTTTTTCTCCAGGTTTCCCCAGCGCCAAAAAGCCGCTTTCATTCTTAATCTCTTCTTTCACTTGTGGTTTTATTTTTCGTGCATCCTTTTGTGGATTAACGGGTAAGCATTGGGTAGGCGATCCTTTGCAAACACGGCCAGGACCCTGGCGAGGCAGAACTACGACCTCTTTAAGGACTGCAACTCGAGGAAGACACTTTTGGGTCTTACTCTGCGACCAGCTTTGGGGTTGCCTGGACCTATGGCAAAACGGGAATTCACCAACCATAGTTTTGGGTTGCAATCAACTAAGCTACCACCTTTGGGGTACCTGGACCAACCATGGTTTTGGGTTGCAATCAACTTTATTTTTAAGTTTAATAATAGTAACAAAAAACAAAAACATATTGAGGGCCCAGGTAGGGGGTTTGCAGAGTTTGGGCCTGTAAGAACAGACGTTTGTCGGTGACCCCTCCTTTGCAATTCGAGCCACCAACAAAATGGCAGCCACTGTTTCGGCCAGCCACTTTGCAGGCCTCTTTTCCCCTGCTTCCTCCAATGGTGAGAGGATGGTGGTTCGAGCGGCCTTCCGGTTCAACTAGGTTTTTGTATTCGGGGTGTTAGTATTGGTTTTGTGGGGGGGGTTCTGTATCATAAGTTAACATTTTAGCAGGTTATCTGAGGGCCGCCCAGAAATGATTGTTTTCCTTTGGGTTGCCGTTTAAACCAACCTAAAAACGGGGCACCGAGCTCACAGTATTAGCCTTACCAAATTCAATCACCCAACCTATGAAGCACACCCTAACCATTTTGGACCTTGAATTGGAAAACCCACACCAACCTATAAATCACGCCCTAACCACTTTTTTGGGGCGAACGGAAAACCCATACCCCTTCGCTTTGATTTGTGGATATCTTTGGTTTCCAGTCGACCTCCAGGATCCCTTTGGCGCGGCGGACGAGTCGGAGCCCCTGTGCCACTCAAGAGGTGGGACCAGATGGGTCTCTCTTTTTTTTCAGGTACCCCTAAGAATTCGGTAGGTTTCCCTGTTTAAGACCTTGTTTCAGGTTGGTCCCCTAAAAAAATGTAGGTGTCCCTTTTTGAAACCGCACAACCTCCTGGTTTTCCTTTAAAACCACAACAGAGGTACTCACCTTGACCCATATGGCCGGAGGCTTTACCGGTGGATGCCCAAAATGCTGGTGATGGTTTTCGGGATTTGGGCGTGTGCTTAGAATGTGGCGTCCACTCTTTGGGCGTCCTTCATTCTCCGTTTTAAGCAGAAAGTTAGAAGGTTGGTAGGTTGGATTTGGCCGGGGATTTATATGAAGGCTTGTTTTGAAAGCTTCCTTGGCGCTGATTGTTGAAGCACGGACATTTGGTCTACGCTTTCCCTTGTGAGATCTGGGGGATGGCTCACCTTAAGAACAACCACAGAGCAAGCTGCGCTTTCGATCTTCGGAGTTAAAGCCCTTGACACACCGTTCGGGTCCTTAGTTGTGGAGGCGACTGGTATTTTTTTTGACTTTTGTGGTGTTGTTTTTGGGGGGTGGGGGGTGGGGTCCCGAGTTTTCACGCACTGGATACACACCAACCCATCTTGGGATACACCGCGAGAAGGGGTAAAAGCAACCAGTCGAGAAACCGGGGAAGAAGCCCACGCCCCGGTGCAGTGAACATTCCCAGCTCACCTTGACCGAGCGCCAAGCTACGATTCGTGGCCTTCTGCGAGCTTCCCTGCGAGCCGGGAGAGGAGCTGTTTGGTGACACCCCAAAAAAAGAAGCCCCCCGTGAAGGTGGAGTGAACCTCGTTGCGGGTGTTTAAAAAAGAACTTGTGCGAACATCCAAGCAGGCAATTTTCAGGGGGACCTTTTAGTTTGGGGAGGAAATATACTCCACAAACTTGGCTTGGTTGCTCTTGGGTTGGATCTTCAGACTTTAATTTCTTGGAAAATCAAGGGGTTGTCCATTAACCCCACAAACAGCACACTTTTTGAGGGTCGAGAGCAACCAAGTCGGGTTCCATGTTTTTTTTTTTTGTTTCCCTCTTTTCTCTGGGGCCCTTTGTGTGGATCCCGGTTGAGGGTTGCACCAAGGTTTACCTTGGCCACGAGCAAAGCCAAGCGGCGGCTGAACGGGAAGAAGATCCAAGAGCCAGAGCCCCTGAAGCTTTGGGGGGGGGGGCATGACGAATCGACTCACGGGATTTGTTAGAAACTTCCATTTGTAGAAATGAATATGTTTTGTGTTCCCTGTGGGTTTTAAAGGGAATCTAATACTGGAAATAGGTGTTTATTTCTTTTTCTTCCGTACCCCTCGTGAGTTGGAATCAAACGTTGGACAAGGCTCGATGTCAAATAGGCGATGCTTCTTCACTCTCTTCTTGTGTGTTGATCTCTACTTCTGGCGGCTTCGTGTGGAGTTCAGCAAATGTAAGGAAATCAGCGCAGAGTACACGAATTATGTTGGACATATTTGTTATCTACCTAAACACGAAGAAGCCACCCATAAAAAAGGGAATGCACCAACCGTAGTTGTGGGTTGCAATCACCCACTTTTAAGGTGGAGTTTGGAGGGTCCAGGTGGCTTTTTGCTGGAGTTTGATGGTTATTTGGGTTTATTTACCAAATACAGTCATACAATACTAGCAATACTGGAGAGATAGTCCTTCCGTCGCGATCTAATTCGCAAACCATCATGGTAATCCTTATGATGAAAGGCCTGTTGCGTGGAAGTAGATGGCACAGTTCTCCCAGTTGGGGGTGTCAGGGAAACCAAAAGGAAAGCCACATGTTGGAGGGTGAGCTAGGCTCCTCAGCTCGACTTAATTGTAAACGCTGCGCGTTGCCCGCCTCGGCCTAGCCGAGCACGCAGCGTCTGTGGGTCGACTGCAAGCAGTAGAGCTGGTCAAGTGGCGATTCAGGAATGGACAGGTTTTGGTATCGTTGAACCAATTGATGTCATGGGCCGAAGTTGCGTGTTTCTCGTTTACACAAACCAATGTCATTGTGTCATAATGTGCAAAAAAAACAGCAAACACAGGGACCCGCGAGGCAAGGGCACGGCGCCGCGCGCCGCGGCAGTGGACGCCATGGGCGGAAGTTGCGCAGAAAGTCTCGACAACCAAAGCAGAGCCGTGGTGATCAACGCGCACGGCAGTCTTGATCGACTGTGCCGGAATGTTTTTTTTTCAAGCGTGGATCGGTCGGGCTGGGCAGGCCGCTGGGCTGGGCCTGAGCTAGTTGCGCTTGGGCGGGTGCTGGTGGTTTCAGACACGTCAGACCAGCCGGCCTTGCCTGTCGTGCTGGTTGGGCTGGGCCTGAGGCTCCTCTCAGACACTGGCCCGGACTTGGTTGCTGGATTGGTTGCAGCCACGTCTAAGACAGCTGCTTCAAGAGTCTCGCTCTTGCTTGGGCGGGTTCAGACAGGGCGGGCTGGGCTGGGCCTTGCTTGCGTGTTGGGAGTTGGACTGGACTGCTGCTGCCTGGATAATCTCAGACAAAGCTGGGCTTGGCCTTTCTTGCTTACTGGTGGGGCTGGGCACGAGGCTAGTCTCAGACACTTCAGACAGGGCTGGCCAAGGGTTGCTTTTTGGAAAAGAGATTTGAGCGCCCTTGGCCCCCTTGGTTGGGGCCGAGGCGAATTATCACGCGGCCTCACATGGGTCTGTCTTTTTGTTGGTGGCAACCAGCCGGAAAACTACATCCCCGTGGTTTTACGAACTTCGTGTGAAGATGAACATGGAAACCCAAAAAGTTGCTTTTACTAAGAACAGCAAGTTGGCAGTTCTGGATGTGTCTTTTGTAGTGGGCCCCAACAAAGAAGATCCGGGTGGTTGGACCTGGGGATGACCAAGCACGCTGCCACTTCTATCTGTCTGCGGGTTGGGTCCAGATCGCTGGTTTCAGATTTGGTGGCGCCCATTTCAGCAATTGACACAGCGGAAACCTGGTAGTCCATGTAGGCAGCTTGCTCCAAGGCCGATTCGGGTAGATGCAGCTGCCTGTTGAATTCTTTGTATGGTTCTGGGTAGACCACTCCGACACCAGGTTTTGACTGTGACTCATGTCTACTTCGGGGATGAGAATGAGATGTCCACCGCAGATCAGCGGTTTAGATCCCCCCACATGTTCATACGTCTTCTTATGTCTTCTCGGGGAAGCAAGCAACTTTGTCTGTGGGTATTCTTTTTGAAGGCTTACTTGCACGCTCCCAGTGAACATACCTATGAACCATGCGTGTATCGGGATGGATTTTGCGTTACGTACTGTTGATGCCCCAGCTGTTGGTGGGAATATGCCAGAATCGCGGGACCCCAAAAATGGTGGCTCTCTGTTTTGGTTTCCCTTTCAATCATTGTTTCATGTTTTTTTTTAAGATTTGGCCATTCTCGTAATAATTACTTATAGATCTTTTCTTACGCACAAACTTTCGCATGGCATCGGGTGCTAAGAAATCCGCGCCCGAGAATGTCCCCTGCATTCCCCTCCGCGTTCACTTTCATCTCCCCTGCGTGTCCGGTTCATATCCGCCTCGTGGCCCATTTCATTTCCCCTTCCGAAACCACGAAGGGGCGCCCAACGCCGTCCTTGGGCAGAGCTCAGGCAGGACTACGTGGAGTCTGCCAGGACCTGGTGAGCGGAAGCCGGTTGTCTTCTGGGAGAGAAGCTTGTTTGGGTTGGTGTGATGGGGAACCAACTGGGTGACTTATAACGACCTCACACGACCGAATTCACCCCAAATGCTGGTTTCTGCGGGGAATAGCCCCCCAACCACCTTATTTCAGGTTGGTGAAATATTATTCTAGGAATACCTGGAAGCCGTTTGTGTTCAAGAAAAAGGGCGCGTAGCTGAAACCTGGGTTTACAGGTTATGAGCCCAAGGAGGACGCGGTGAAGCCATGGCGTCTCCAGGAGACCTCGGACGGCGAGAACCGGAAGAGGCGGAGGAGAGCCTGGAGCTGGTTGGGCAGGAGCTGGTGCCGGTTGGCGCCAAGGGCAAGGGGAACTCCGGTGGGAAGAGATCCGCGGAGGAGCTCGACACGCCAAGGAGGTCGACTTCGGGAAGAACGGCCCTTCAAGAAGGCTCCCGCGGTCGAGAAGGCAAAGGAGACGGAGAAGAACAATGGGCAGGTGGGCCACGTGGCGACCCTGTGGTTCTGGAACCCTTGTTCAATGAGGCCCAGATGGAGCGGAGAGAAGCCCCCTTGATTCATGGCACCCGGATGGACCAAGAGAGACCTCGGCATCTACCTGAACCTATGGAGGCGGGTATGGAGCTGGCGGGCGCTACGAGCAGGATGTCGCCGGCGGCAAGAATGCCTGTGGAGAACCAGGAGTACGTGATGCGGCTGGTGAACGAGCTCATGGCGCAGAACCAGTGCCTGATGAGGGAGATTGAGAGCCTGAAGAACGGCAAGGCGGTGGAAGAGAGCTATGGTACCCCGGACAGTCGGGACAAGAGCAAGGTGCTTAGCATCGAGGACAAGAAGAGTGGGGACAACAGCCGGAAGCCCATGGAGGTGATGGGAGGTAACGTGGACGTGAGCTATGGCCAGAATGTGCGCGACCAGGGCATGAACCCGGACATGGCCAACGGCAAGAACAATGGAGGTGAACATGAAGATGATGATGAATCTTCATCAGAGCTGAGGCCGGCATCGGTGGCGGGCAGTGGAAAGAACGGGAAGCAGATGGACGTCATTCTGAAGCTGCTGGAGGGGATGCAGGCCATGCAACAGCAGTTGATGGGTGGTGCCGGGAAAGGAAATCAGGAGACGGTGGAGGTGGTTCGCCCTGGCATCACTGAGCTGCCGAAGCTGAGTGAACCTACGGCGGAGTCAGGCCCCATTGATCTGGGTGACTGGATGATCATCATAGAGCCGCTCCTCGCTGATTTGAGTGATTCGAGCGCTGAGTGGTGGCAGCTCATGGTCACCGAGGCCAAGGAATGGTATGCCCGCTACTTGCAGGAAGTCCCCATCAAGCGGATGAACATGATCCCGGAGACACCTACATCCCTGAAGGTGAAGAAGTGGAGTCGGGTGGAAAGAAGAGCGGTATCGATGCTGATCCAGGCGGTGCCGGAAGGAATCCGTGATGAGCTGATCTCGTCGCAGGCCGTTACGACGTTTGCGGTTCTGTGCAAGCTGATGATCGCTTATCAGCCGGGAGGATTGGCGGAGAAGGCCGTGGTGTTGAGGAATTTGGAGGAGCCAGGGGAAGCTCCATCGGTGGCGGAAGCGGTGAAGGGGCTGAGACGTTGGGTCAGATGGCGGCGACGTGCAGGAGACGTTGGGTTGACCCTGCCGGACTCAAGCATCTTGATGAGAGGCCTGACGAAGCTCACAAAGAAGGTCTTGGAGGCGAACCGGGAGTTGACTTTCCGAGTTTCGTTGGCGAGGAGCACACTGCAGGTGGACTCGGTTCCGACCCATGCGACGGTGCTGCAGTATGCGGAACACTTGCTGGCGGAGCTGGAACAGACGGCCTTTTTGAGCGAGAAGAAGGCTCCGACGAAAACCAGCACGGCAGGAGGAGACACCAAGGTCCGGAAGCTGGAGGAGTCCAAAGAAGGCCGCGATGGAAAGGAAGGAAAAGAAGGCAAAGAAGGGAAGGGCGACGGAAAAGGAGGAGCAAAGGGGAAAACCCCCTGCCGGTTCTACATGTCCGACAGCGGCTGCCGGCGAGGTCGAGGATGTGATTGGTTGCACCCGACGGACGAGACGGCTCGAGGACGCTGCTGGGACTGTGGGTCGACGGAGCACATGCGGAAGGATTGCCCGCGCAAGGTCTCCAAGCCTGGAGGAGGAGAACGGACAACGGCACCGGCAGTGAAGCCATTCAAAGCTGAGGAGGCAAGAGGAGTGGCAGAAACTCAGTCGGTGGTGGACCAGGAGAATGACAAGGACAAGAAGAAGAAGGAGGTGGTGGTAGAGGAGACAGCTGCCAGCTCCGTTACCAAGGTGTTGGAGGAGGCGGGTAAGATGTTGAGGAGCCTCAACAAGACCAGCGGTGTGAAGAATGGGAAAGAAAGGGAAAATCGGCTCGAGATGTTGCAGAAGCAGCTGGACGAGATCCGAGGAGACCCAAGGCTGAATAAGGCCCAGGTGTCGAGTTTGAGCCGAGCCGTTGGTGGATTGCTGGACTCGGGGGCCACTCATCCACTCAGAGGATGCAAACCTTCGGAAGACCTTGACACCATGGACGAGGTAAGAGTAACCCTTGCCGGAGGTGAAGAGCGGTGGATGAGAATGAGCCCGGGAGGAATCATCATCCATGACGACCCGGACGTGGACCCGATCATTCCCTTGGGGGTGTTGATCAAAGCCCTTGGGTGCAAGGTGGAGTGGTCCGGCGTGGAATGTTCAGTGGAACACCCACGAAAAGGGAAGCTGAAGGTGACTATGAGAGATGAATGCCCCTATGTGGACAGGGCCGTGGCGATGAAGCTTCTCGACGAGCTGGAGGAGCTGAAGACAGAGAAGGATAAAGGTGAAGTGCTGGTACAGGCGCTGATTGAGAAGGAGAGTATCCAGCAGCTGGTGGATTCTCACCCGGTGTTCAAGGGAGTGCCCGACAAGGTGAAGGCCATGTTGGTGGAGGAGCCTGCAGAGGATCTTCGGCATCTACCCTGGAACCGGAGGAGGAGGAGGCTGTTGGAGAAAGGAGGAGATCCCCTCTGGTTGCACCTCTACGCAGGCGCAGAAGAAGGTTATACTCTGTCAAGAGCAGTGAAGGAGCTAGGAGGAGACAATCGGTTCCTGTTGGAGGTGGATATCCAGAGAGGAAAGGAGCACGACATGGTGCGAGGCCCGCTCTACGGCACGCTTTTGAGGCTTGCACAGGATGGGCGTCTGGCGGCAGTGGTTGGAGGACCAAACTGTCGAACGAGGAGTGTGCTGAGGCATTACCCGTTGCCGGAGGCTGGAGGAGCCCCGAGACCGGTGAGGGGGCCCGCGGTGCAGGAGCAGTTCGGGAAGGCAGACCTGACCGAGCACGAAGCTAAGGCGGTGTTCGAGGACGACGTGATGATGTGGAGGATGATGGTCATCTACCTGGCGGCGAAGAAGGCAGCACTACGAAAGGGAGGTGAAGAACCCCATTTCCTCGTGGAGCACCCAGCCAGCCCGGAGAAATATATGCCTGAGTGTTGGTCGTGGTGGCGAACGCCGCAGTGGAGGGCAATGAAAGAGAAGGAGGGCCTGAGTGAAATCACCTTCTTTCAGAGCGTGTTCGGAGGAAAGGCCGCGAAACCTACGACGATGGGCACGGACCTGGAGTTGGCGATCCCTGAGGAGAGCCAAAGCAGCAAAGAAAGGAGGTCTACCCGTACGACCAGAGCTGCAGCAGATGTGGAGGGCTCGAAGGAGCTTGCGAGATGGGCGCCGGGACTGATGCGGTCCGTCGCGAAGGCGTTGCTGGAAGCAACAGGAATCAAGACAGCAGTGAGAAAGCTGTCGTGGGCCGAGCATTTGGCCAACGGCCATACGCCATACAGGCGAGACTGTCGTGTATGCCAGGAAGCATCCGCACAGGGACGAGCACATCGGCGCATTGCTCATCCCCAGGCACACATCTTGTCTGTGGACTTGGCGGGACCTCTGCGTCGAGGGCACGACATCGACGGCAAGAGCTGTAGGTACTTCCTCATGGGTGCCTACACCCTACCTCGTGGTGGAAAGGAAGAGGTTTGGGACGAGGAGATCGACGGATTGGCTCCGGGGAGTTGGAAGGTCCCTCAACGGGTGCAAGCCATGCGGAGGTGGAAGAGGATTGATGAGAATGCGGTATCTTACCGAACCACCCGAAAAGGAGGACCACCCTGGAGGAGCGTGAAGTGGAGAGTCACCGTGGACAATGACACCGGTGAGGTTCTGGAAAGCGTGGAGGTGACGAACCTAGAAGAGGAAGACCTTCATCGACTCTTGGACAAGACCCGCAACCTGAGGACCATCCTGTTCTACGAAAAGGGGACCAAGGGCCAGGAGGGGGAGATCCAGGAGGAGAAAGGGAGGCTGGCGGACTACTGGACCAAGAGCATCGATGGGCGAATGGTCATCAGGGTGCACAAGTCCCACCGAAAAGGGAAGTTCTTCCCGGAGGAGGCTGAAGAGTGTCCGGTCCCCATAGACCAGCTGGCGGATGTGAGGCGCACGGTCGCGAGAAAGGCCAAAGGAGGTGCGTATGAGACGGTGACCGATGATTGGAGAACTGCAGGAGCTGGCGAGCGACTGTTCGAGGATGATTCAAGATGGGCAGGAAGAACAATCTTCATGATCAAAGGAGCGCCTGACCCACCGCCTCGACCAGAATTGGTGATAGAAGAAGAGGAGTACGAGCCGGAGTTGCCACCTCTGGAAGCAGGAGATTGGGACTTTGAGCTGGAAGATGAGGCCAAGGAGTTGGAGGACGCCCAGATGAACCCGGCTGAAGCTGAAGAAGAAGAGGAGGGAGGAGAAGACGAAGAAGGCCTTCCACCACTACCAGTGAAGACGCTGTGGTTCATGATACCTTTGGTGAGCAAGAGCTCGCGAGAGGTTTTGGAGGCGATCCAGCAGATGTACCTCGAGTTAAGACGGGAGAATCTTCCTCTAGCCCGACTTCACTCGGACTGCGGGCGCGAGTTC